GCTCTATTCCATCTCCCATAGTCTCTCCCACTGCACATTATGACTTAGCAATTCCATGGCTAGGTATATTTCAGGAGACATGAAAGCACATATGAACAAAGAGTTAAGTCACTCAGTCACCCCTTCTCCATCCCAAATGTTGGCAGTGTAACATCCATGCAGTTATATTACCAGGGTTACCCTAAAAAATATAAACCCTCACAGGCTATAATACATTGGCAACTCACTGACAGAAATGGATAGCCTATAAGACCTAACCTCTCTCCTAGGTAATAAGAAAACTGTATAAAAAGGTAAGGCTTGAAATGCTAAAAGTCTCCCATTTTAAAGGGATCAGAGGCTACTTGTTAACATTTCCTCTTTACCCCAAGAAAACAGCACTGGCAGCAAGCTGCACTTCACTTAAAAAAAAAAAAAAAGGAAATGAGTTAAAGGTAAGTATCTCAAAAGAAAAGCCCATGGCATTCTAAGCAGCCAGCAATGAAGTTCCCATTTAAGTTCCCTTCAAAATGACGGGATACCTGCAGAACCATCTCCCTCCTGCCAAGAGAGAAAAAGAGATAAGGATTTTTAAGTGTATCCAAGTCATACTCACGAACACATCTGACTCAATGATCAATTATTAAAGCTTACAAACTCCCAATTCACTTGTCAGCAAACCAAATCTGACCCACAGAAGAAATGCCCAGTAAATTGCTTTCACATTGGTTGACTGTGTTTCTAAAAAGCATGCTCTGATTCTTGAGAGAGGAGGCAACAGAGTGCTCTTCTACAGTAGTCCCAAAATGTAAAGCTCTCCCAGTTCAGTAAAGCATCAAAACTAATTGGGAAATGGAAGACAGGATGTCAGCACAAAGCTGCCCACTTACATAAAAGCATTTACAAAGCAAGGGGAGATTTTTTTTTAATACCATCTGTTACTGTCATAATTTTCTAACAGATTATCTTAATGTCGGAGAGTAAAATGACATATTTTTTAAAAAGAGATTATGTTGTGGGTCCATTGCCACATCACGAGAAAATGGGTAGACAGATTTTCACCAAATATGAATTGTACATTTTGGATAACAGAGTAGAGTCAGCTTCCAGGACAGGGGTAGACCACATTTCCCAGGTGTGGCCCATAACAGAGTTCTAGCCAAAAGAATGTAAGTGGAAGTGACCCTGGCCCCTAAACCTCCCCATACTCATATACCCTTCTCCATGCTCTTGAGCCTTCTATGCCGGACAGTGATGCCAAGGGCAACCTTAAAAGCCATGTGTTGACCAATGGGGAGCTTCCTTCAACCTGGTGCCCTATTCAATAACTGTGGGGAGCAGAGAACCTACCTACCTCCTTCAACTTCAAACCACTTTGGGCCATCATGTAAAAGAGGAATAAATTTCCAATACGTTTATACCATTATACATGTTGGGATTTATTATTATAACACTTAGCCTACACATGATTCCACAGGATTTAACTTAATATATGGGCTATGAATCAATAATTTAAAAGCAATTCAATTTTTAGAAAGACAGGAAATCTGAACATATACTTCAAAGGAACATATATCAATGGTCAATAAGCACGTAAAAAGATGCTTAGCATCATTAGTCATCAGAGTAATGCAAATTAAAACCATAATGTGATACCACTTCACACCCAAAAGCTAAAAGTAAAAGACTGACAACGCCAAAAGTCAGAAGGATGTGGAGCAACTGGAACTCCCATATACTGCTGAGATGAAGTATAAAATGGTATAACCTCTTTGGGAAAAGGCTCAGCACTTCCTCATAACACATTCACTTACCTCATGACCCAATAAATCTACTCCTAGGTATTTCCCAAGAGAAATAAAAGCATCTGTGCACAAAAAAGACTTGTATAAGAATTTTCATACCAGCTTTATTTTTTATTTTTAAGAGAGGGTCTCCCTCTGTCACCCAGGCTAGAGTGCAGTGGTGTAATCATAGCTCACTGCAGCCTCCACACCCCAGGCTCAAGCAATCCTCCTACCTCAACTTCCCGAGTAGCTGGGACTACAGGCATGTGTCACTATGCCTGACTACTTGTTTTATTTGTCGTAGAGATGGGGTCTCACCATGTTGCCCAGGCTGGTCTCAAACTCCTGGGCTCAAATAATCCTCCTACCTCAGCTTCCAAAAGTCATAGAATTACAGGCATGCGCCTCCATGCCCAGCCACAGCAGCTTTACTCATAACAGAAAAAAACTGAAATAGCCCAGGTGTCCAGCAACAGGATATCCAAATGGTGATATATTCATATAATGGAATCTTACTCAGCAATGAAAAGAACAAACTGTTAATATATGAAACAACTTGAATGAATCTTACAACAGTTTTGCTGAATGAAAGAAGCCTTATACCAAAAAAGTACATAAATAAATGATTCAAAAAACTCAAAACACTGTTTGCCTGGTGTGAGATTGTGGGGGTTACAAGGAATGACTGGGAAACTCTCCAGGGTGACAAAAATCTTCGATATCTTGATAAGGGTTTAGGACGCACAAGTATATATATTTATCAAAACTCATGGAATGGTACACTTAATATGTATGCATTTCACTGTATGTAAATATTACCTTAAGAGCATACACACTGGACTCTTTTAATTTGCACACTCAGTGCTTAGGGGTCAAGTATACTGACACCTAAAACTTACTCTGAAATGTGCTGAAAAAATAATTAATGGATTATTGGATGAATGAAAGGATGGACAGACAAGTGGAGTAACATGTAATAAAAGACACAGGGCAAAATGTTCATTGTAGAATCTAGATGACAGATATATAGGTAAATACTGCAAAATTCTTTCAACTTTTCTGAATGTTTTAAATTTTTCAATTAAAAAAAGTGTTTGAAAATTATATAGACTATGAGGCATATGCATAATTCCTTTTGTAAGGCCCTGGTGGAGAGGAAGAAGTACCTCAAAGAAGGAAGATGTTTTCACTCAGAGGAGCCAAAATGGAGGAACAACAAGATATCAATGTGACTGCCAGTCAGGAAGATGGACACAGTGTACAGAGATGCCATGGACAAAGGAGATTGCCGTATTTCAGGTATGAGCTTCCCAACTATGGATGCGCTCTGTGAGTCAACCATTTCTCACATGGGCAACTACATAAGGCACATCAACGGCAGGGACTTCATGCTTGAACAGTTCATGATTCTCCCAAACAACAAAGGCAGTTAGTCTCAGAATAAAGACGAGTCCGTTAAAAATGAAAATATTTTGTTTTGTAAAAATCTCACTACCTTGTCCACACTTTTCTCAATTCACCGAGTATACATGAAAACTTCGGTGTGAACCAGGACTTAGCACCCTCTAGGTATGGAAAGAGTCTTGGGCCCAAGAAGCTGAGTTCTAACCTTGTCTCTGCCACTAATTAGTGGCACATCCTTCACTAAGACTCTACGTCTCTCTGGTTCACTTTATTATACGTATCAAGAACTCATGAACCATCCTAATGGTATATAACAAAGAACAGGACCAAGAGGGGAGATTTTCCAGGCTTTTAGGGGAGAATGGCAGCCTTTTCCCAAACAGGGAACCATTAAAGCAATCCATGAGCACTTAGCATTAATACCCGAGTTCATGAACACTGAGTTTTGAGAAAGAACACTAGGCAGAATAGGGGAAACAGGGTTACAGTCTTCTCTCTACCATTAACCAGCAGCCGGGGAACCAGGCAAGACCTTTAGACTCTCTAGGTCAATCTGCCAACAGAAGACTCAGACCAGATGCAGTCTCATCTGTCATAGATGCCCTCTGAGATCCTGCACCGCCGGGGCACAGGCCAGGAATGCCTCCCCTACCACCAAGTTAAAATCCTACTCATTTAAAAAATTCCTGTTCAGATGTCACCTGCTTTGTCCGGCCCACTTGGTCACTGCCTCTACATTCTACAGATAACCTATATTACAGCCCTCACTACGCTGGAGTGTAATCATCTGTTCATTCGTCTTGTCTCCCAGACTAGCCTCTCAACTTCTCAAGGGTGTTGGTCTTGCCTCATTGGAATCTGTACACCTTACCTAGGAACAGTGCCTAGCACCTGCAGGCATTCGAAGAATAGAATAAACGCATTAACCAATCCCTAATGTCACCGCCCAGCTGTAAAATGCTAGGCTTGATATTTTGAAGTGCATATGAGACAATGGATGTCAAAATTCGTTTATTTAGTTGTTTAATAATGTGCATAGTACGTACCAGTCACTGTGATTGGTGCTGAAGACATCAAGATGGTAAAACACAATCCCTGCCCTGCTGGTACCCCACAACTATGAAAGCGTGTAAATAGTATTTCAGGAAGGGCAGCGTTACAGCCTACCCTTCTCCCCTGACGGCCTTCCTTGCAGCTGCAGCTCTCTGCCTCTTTCCCCATGAGCCCTCATTCTGTCCTCAAGCTGCGACCTCTGTCCCAGTTGGCAAAAGAGCAAAATTCTGAAGCAACCACCCGAGCCTGTTGCGGACAACAAGTCCTCCAGGCCCGCGCCCCAGGCCCCACGCCTCGGACTCCCCTCCGCTGCTCCCGCTAATGTAACAGTCCTTCTGCACCCAAGGGGACCCTCCCGCCCCCCGAGACGCGATACAGTCCCTCCAAGCACCGCCCCGGGGGAAGTCGGGCCGTTACTCGCCAACGCTCCCACTTTCTACGCGGACCCTCGGGCCCGCTCGGGGAGCTCAGGGTGTACCTGCGCGGCCCGCTGCTCCTTCCAGTGCTTCATCTGGTCACTGGCGGGATCCCGGCTGTCAGCCATGGCGTGCGGTTGGCGGTGCAGAACGCTGCAGGCGGCCTCGGCTGGTGAGTCTCCACCCTAGGAAGGCAAATGAGCCTGCTGCCCAGCGGCCGCGGCGACTTTAGGCTCCGCCAAACAGCACCGCCCCTCATCCCGCCCCCTCGGGAAGGCTACCTCCTGATTGGCCGCTCGGTGCTAGGCGGGCCGGGATTGGAAACCCAATGGGCGAGGAGTAGGTTTCCCCCTAGGGAGGCGGTGCCCGGGGACGTGGAGAGACTCGGGAAGGTGCGGAAAAGAGGGGCCCTGCGCTGGCCCGGCTGTTGAAGAGCCTCGCCCAGCCGACCCCGGGTGCCCACGATAGCCGAACCCAGGGTGGGGATCCTGGTTATCGTCATCCCTCCTGCAGCCTCGGTACGCGGCCGTTGGTGACCTGCCAGTTTTACAGAGGGAATACTTAGACCCTGCTGGGTGGGGCCTTGCACTGTGTAACTGCTTTCTCAGCTCTTAAAAAGTCAGCAATTCTGGGTTAAATTCCTCTGTGCAGAATTAAATTTTGCCATACCCCAATATAAGTATTATTTGCAACCAATGGATGGATACTTTTCTTTCTCTCTCTTAGCTCTTCTTATTTGTGGATTATCACTTACTACTCTAGTATACTAATTATTTAAATATAAAAACACTCTGAAACGTTTATCTCCTTACAGATGGGCGTTGATTTCCTCTGTTACCAGAGAAAAACAACTTAACTGAGAGATGGGAAAAATGTATTCCCTTGTGATGGGAAAAATGTATTCAACTCCTGTACACTGTGCCAAATTGGCTTCTTTAAACACTGGAGAAACCTGCTTCCCCAAATTTTACTCCCAGGTGAGCAGAAATTTTGAAAATCTCTGTGTCTTTAAAAAGCTATGTTGAAGAGTAAAATACTTAGTAATATTTAGTACAATATTTAAAAAGTCACTGACTAGTTTGTCATTGTAATCAAATAGTTTGAATGATTTCTACACCTCCTCAGGTACTAGGATTTATCTTTAAGCACCTTGATATATATAAATACTATATAAGTTATCAGCTTTTGATTTTTTTCCAGTACAACTACATATAATGGGTGGATATATAAAAGTGGAAACTTCACATATTGTTCTTGATCTTACAACAGTATGATAAGAATCTTGGGCATAAAAGTGGAATTTTTGCAGTTCATTGGAAAAGAAAGCCACAAATTGATCTTTAGCACCCTATACTTTTCCTATGTTAAACTTAAAACAATTGTAAAGACGCTGTTAGCTGTGTGATTTGGTGTCTTTTTCTACCTACAAGATCTATACTGCCAAGACTGTAAACTCCATGTGGGTCGGAATCCTCCCGTTTATAATTTATTGAGCACTTACTATATACCAGGGACTGGTATAAGTTTTTCATGTATTTGCATAGTTAAACCTCCCAACAGCTCTATGAGTTAGATACTAATATTATCTTCATTTTTCAAATTAGGAAACACAGGTATAGGGAGGTTAAATAACTTGCCCAAAGTTATACAGTTATTAAGGGATACAACTGGGATTCTATCTAGCCTCAGCTGCTGATCTCCAAATCCCACAGTTTGTTGAATAAACAAATGTTGAAAGAATCAAACAAATCATCTTCTTAACTAACCAACACAAATATCAACAAGATAAATAAAAAGAGACCTGGGGTTATATTAACCTTTGTTCATTATATAAACACTGTTCAGCATGTATGGTTTTTTTCCTGTGTTTTTGTTACTATGGGTTTGGACTCCTAAGGAATTATTTCCAGAGAAAGAAATGGAGAAACAAGATTGGTTTCTGATCTTATCATATCTTGTATTTTAAAATAAAGGGCAGGCTTACAAGTAATGACAATAAATTATATATATATATATATATATATATATATATTTTATTGCACTTTAGGTTCTGGGGTACATGTGCAAAACATGCAGGATTGTTGCATAGGTACATACACGGCAATGTGGTTTGCTGCCTCCATCCCCCCGTCACCTACATCTGGCATTTCTCTTCATGTTATCCCTCCCCAGCCTCCCCACCCCCAGCTGTTCCCCCCCATTCCCCACCAACAGACCCCAGTGTGTGATGCTCCCCACCCTGTGTCCATCTGTTCTCATTGTTCAACACCTGCCTGTGAATGAGAACATGCAGTATTTGTTTTTCTCTTCTTGTGTCGGTTTGCTGAGAATGATAGCTTCCAGATTCATCCATGTCCCTACAAAGGACACAAGCTTATCATTTTTTATGGCTGCATAGTATTCCATGGTGTGTATGTGCCACATCTTCCCTGTCCACTCTATCATTGATGGGCATTTGGGTTGGTTGCAGGTCTTTGCTATTGTAAACAGTGCCACAATGAATATACTTGTGCATGTGTCTTTATAATAGAATGATTTAATAATCCTTTGGATATATACCCAGTAATGGGATTGCTGGGTCAAATGGAATTTCTATTTCTAGATCCTTGAGGAATCGCCACACTGTCTTCCACAATGGTTGAACTAATTTACCTCCCACCAACAGTGTAAAAGTGTTCCTGTTTCTCCACATCCTCTCCAGCATCTGTTGTCTCCAGATTTTTTAATGATCGCCATTCAAACTGGTGTGAGATGATATCTCAATGTGGTTTTGATTTGCATTTCTCTAATGACCAGTGATGAGCATTTTTTCATATGTTTGTTGGCCTCATAAATGTCTTCTTTTGAAAAGTGCCTGTTCATGTCCTTTGCCCACTTTTGAATGGGTTTGTTTGCTTTTTTTCTTGTAAATCTGTTTTAGTTCTTTGTAGATTCTGGATATTAGCCCTTGGTCAGATGGGTAGATTGCAAAATTTTTTTCCCATTCTGTTGGTTGTCGGTTCACTCTAATGATTGTTTCTTTTGCTGTGCAGAAGCTCTGGAGTTTAATTAGATCCCATTTGTCTATTTTGACTTTTGTTGCCAATGCTTTTGGTGTTTTAGTCATGAAGTCCTTGCCTATGCCTATGTCCTGAATGGTTTTGCCTAGGTTTTCTTCTAGGGTTTTTATGGTGTTAAGCCTTAAGTTTAAGTCTTTAATCCATCTGGAGTTAATTTTAGTGTAAGGTGTCAGAAAGGGGTCCAGTTTCTGCTTTCTGCACATGGCTAGCCAGTTTTCCCAGCAACATTTATTAAACAAGGAATCTTTTCCCCATTGCTTGTTTTTGTCAACTTTGTGAAAGATCAGTTGGCTATAGATGTTTGGCATTGCCTCTGAGGCCTCTGTTCTGTTCCATTGGTCTATATCTCTGTTTTGATACCACTACCATGCTGTTTTGATTACTGTAACCTCATAGTATAGTTTGAAGTCAGGTAGCGTGATGCCTCCAGCTTTGTTCTTTTTGCTTAGAATTATCTCGGCTATGGGCGCTGACAATAAAGTTATAATGTTACATAGGAGGCTGGTCATGGTGGCTCATGCCTGTAATCCCAACACTTTGAGAGGCCAAAGTGGGAGGATCACTTGTGGCCAGGAGTTCAAGACCAGCCTGGCCAACATGCAAAACCCTGTCTCTACCCAAAATACAAAAATTAGCTGGGCATGGTGGTGTGTGCCTGTAGTCCCAACTACTCAGGAGGCTGAGGCAGGAGAATCTCTTGAACTTGAGAAGCAGAGGTTGCAGTGAGCCAAGATTATACCACTGTACTCCAGCCTGTATGACAAAGTGAGACTCCATCTCAAAAAAATTAAAAATTAAAAAAAAGTCACATATTAGGTGGAAGTTTTATTGGCTTTATGACTATACTTTAATCATAGTTTAAATGAAAACGCTTCTAAAAATCAGCCATAGTTTAAAAATACTTGAAACCAAACCTGTTTGACTACCTAAAGGTAATTGCAAGTGATTGGTTAAGTAAATAAATTAGGTTCTAGGTTTTAACATTTTAGCCATATGAATTCATGGGCATTTTTATTGATATGAGTAAAATTGTTATTTAAAAAATGCTGTTCTCTGATTTTCAGAACTTAATGAAATAAAATGTACTGGCACAATACATACTGTTATTAATCCTGATATCACCAAATTTGAAACCAGGCTTACAAAGTAGACCATATAACAAATGTTCAAGAACAACATTTGAGTACTCAACTAGGAATCTTTATAGACAAATTTTATTTCATTAGTATTGCAAGAAAAGAATGGAGAGAACGAATGTTATGTTTTATTGGATGACAGGCATACAAAACAGCACAAGGGGAAATTATTCTGTTCTGATTCCACCCATCCTTGGTGTGGCTGAGAATGTTCTGCAAATTTCAGTTTCATCGTCTTCACAGTGGCCTTGTGAGGCAAATTCAGAGTTAGGCAAAAAGGAGGAAAAAAGAACACAACAGGAAAAAAAAGAGAGTTACAATTCAGTATTGGCAGTTGGCTTTAAGAGAAGAGAGTAAACATTACCACAGCTTCATGACTCCTACTCACTGTGGAACAGGCTTGAGCAGGCAAGAGAAGAAGGTGGAATTTGCTTTACAAAGTAACAGTAGTGTTATATCCAGTAGCAACACATACCCCGTGCTCTGCCTATTTTGCTGCACCGTATCTTTCCCACTTTAGTATGAATAGTTACTTACTTGGGAGGAGGCAGCCTAGACGTCCCTGGTGTCTGGTGATGCCCATAACATGAGCTATTCTGAGGGGAAGAACATGGATGTGCCTTTTTCCCCCTCCACCTTACGTGCCGTGCTACTGATCTGGGGTTTGCAAAAAATGAAACATAGGCCAGGCCTGGTGGCTCACGCCTGTAATCCCAGCACTTTGGGAGGCCAAGGCAAGTGGAGCACTTGAGGTCAGGAGTTCAAGACCAGCCTGACCAACATGGCGAAACCCTGTCTCTACTGAAAATACAAAAATTAGCCAGATGTGGTAGCACGCACCTGTAGTCCCAGCTACTCATGAGGCTGAGGCAGGAGAATCACTTGAACCCAAAAGGCAGAGGTTGCAGTGAGCCGGGGTCATACCACTGCACTCCAGCCCTGGTGACAGAGTGAGATTCCATCTCAAAACAACAACGATTTAAAAAAAAAAATAGAAACAAGAATTGGAAATCTGTTTTTTCCTTTCTTTTTATACCTACTAATGGAGGCTTGGAAAATGCAGGATAAAATATCAAACAATCATTCAAAGATGATTATAAATAGATAACATTTTTACCAATATTTTCTCTCTTATATGTATGTAAAGGAGCGTGTATGTGTGTGTGTGTGTGTGAGAGAGAGAGAGAGAGGAAAGAGAGAGTTTTACAATGGATCCTGCAGAATATATAATCTTATATCCTGCTTTTTCCACCTAACATTATCAGAAAAATTCTTTGCAGGTCATTAAATCTTCTTCCAGAAGATGATATTTTTCTCCTACGGCTGCATAATTTGCAATCAAAGGATATTCCTTTATTTACATACCCTTTTACTAAGAACATTTAAATTGTTTTCTTCTATAACAGTACAATGACATCCTTCCTCTACATTTGTATTTATTTCCTCAGGGCCTATTTTCAGAGGTTATTTTTGGTTCGAATCATTTGAACGTTTTAAGGGTCTTGTGACCTATTGTCAATTTTTTTCGGCAATACTCGAGCTAGTTTATACTCTCACTGGCACTAAGAGTGTGGATTGGAAGTGCAGTTTTCAAGACAGGTGAGTATCTGGATTCTAGATGTTTATCAATTGCATATTTCTTCACATTCTTCTGATAGAGAAGGCTTCTTATGTTATGTTCAGCCACAACCACCACACCATGGGACTCATCCAATCATCCAATCTACTGAATGTCTGCTGAGTCCTGGGCCCCCTGCCTGCTGGGCTCTGGGAGTATAGCAGGGAAGAAGGTGGACATAGACAAATAATGAGGCAATAACACAGGGAAAAAGTGCTGAGAGAGGGGAACACCTAAGAAGGTCACCTAACCTGAACCTGCTAGGTCCTGGAGGCTTTGAGTGAAGCTGAAATAAATGAATAGGTGTTAGGTGTGGTGTCAGGAGTGAGCATTATATGATCCACCCTGCTACCGCAAAAATTGAAACAGATTGTTACCACTTTTCCTTAAAAGTCTGACTTCATTAATGTTGGTATGGCAATGGCTTGAGTAGGACTCGGTAGCAAGCAAATATTTATAACTGGTGTTGAGCCTTTTTCAAGTTTGTGCAGGTCCACTGGCCTCTGCAGCTTAGCAGCCTCTCCACTAAGCTACTGTGGCTCACTCACATTCCCTCCTTGCCGCTGAGCTCCT